ACACTCATTTTTGGGCTTAGGATATAGCTACATTGGTTACCATTAAAAATCATTCCTGATCACAGAAAACATATAATTTGTTAGGTTTTGCTTACTGTCTAAAGGAACCCTCTTTTCTCTGTATCACCATACTATTCCACATATTTTAGTATAATTTCACTTTGTAGTAGATCTATTTTCAGTTTCTCACCTATTTTATGTTAATTGGTAAATTCCTCAAAACTGAGATGCTTCATCACACTGATATATGTGAACAGGGTTGGGAAACGCTCTCTCCAACTCTCCAACTCTGAAATACTTCTGATGCTGTAAAGCTCACCTGCACACATCTTAATATAGAACCTGCTTACATGACATCAGCAATGCATCATAATCAATTGCCAAAGGATCTTGCATATCTGTTAAAGTACAATGACATACCAGAAACTTTTCAAGATATCACATGTGGGTGCTACAGTCTCAACCCATTCATCCTTCTACCAACCACTGAAGGTACATAGGCATTGAATGTAGACCAATCATATTTTAACTTTTCTAAAACTAGGCGCACGCATGCACACACACAGACACACACTAGTTTGTACTACCAGCTTGGTATATGTATACTGGAATTGTCAGGTACAGGACAGGACTTATTTATTTAGGTATCTGTAGCCCATCTTTCTCCACAAAGGGGACCCAAGACAATTCACAACTTCATTCTCCCCTCTGCCATTTACTTCTTTGGAGAGACAAATCCAGAAAGATACTATCCCAATGTCACAGAATCATAGTGTGAGACACAGTATTTGGCAAAATTACCCCTTATATTGAAGGCACAATATTGCTTTGCGAAGAGTTTGTGAACCTAAAGAAGAGCTTGTCATCATATTACAATACTTCGTTCATTCACAGGACTGGGTTTACAACTGATATGCAGAACTTAAGCATAGCTGCCTTGATCTGTGAGCAGGGAGGGATCCACAATCCATCCTACATTGTAATTTACAGGACTGAGCTGTACTTTTGTGAATAAAAATGATAAGCACACATAGAATGATAAGCACACAGGACTTTTACCTGTGGCTTATCATTCTATGACCAAGTAAGATTTCTACCCATTATCATGCACTGATGTGTATTATGTTCATATTTTCAAGGTGTTTGTATGGTCTGCATCTAGTCTGAGTGCTGTTTTATGGAGATTACTTCAATGCTCAATGCTGTTCTTATGCCCCTGATGGGCTTTTAATTAAGGCTAGTAATTTTATGGCGGATGTTATTCTTTTATTGTGTTATTTTCACTTTGTGAGCAGCTCTGAGCAGGTCTCTGGAGAGGCGGCATATACATTTTCTAAATAAATAAAATAAGCAAATGTCCAATTGAATTAAACGAATCATGCACTGCCAACACGTCATCAAGAAACAGCCTCATCTATGTTTTCAGTATTGTGTTAGTAGCACCCAATGACAGCCTTTGGCAATGAATCAAGAGCTCTATATTTACCAGAGAGTTTAGAACTCACCCATTTCTACATGGCTATCCTACTTCATTGAACTGTCATCTGTGCTCAGACAGAACAATTACATCTTCCATTTTTTCTGTCAGACTCAAGATGGTACAAAGAGGAACATTCAGGTGCTCTCTCGTTTAGGCACTGATCAGACCCTGTATCTTAAAGGCCAACGAATGTATTAATGACCTTCTTCACTGAAACAACACTTCAGTGTACTTTGTTATAACTGGAAGTCAAATGGGAGGCTGAGACCAAGAGCGGATGGATGAACTTAGAAATGTAAACTTAGACAGAAATTGCTCCAGGATGCACTATTATACAGAAAGCTTCTCTCCATCACTGTATAACAGGAAAATGATAGAAACAAGGATAGTGGACCAATGGAAGTTCAGAGCAATCTTTGGAGAGACAAATTCAGAAAGATACTCTCCCAATAAACCAAGCTTGTTCCTACAATCTCCAGCCGTAACAGAAACAAAGCTAAGCATGACTGTGGGACACAGCTTCCTCTTTGCCCAGAAATGCTCTTTGCCTCTAAAGTCACCAGCTGGCCACTCTGCACTAAACACCAAAGCGCACGGAACGCTGTTACGTTCCCACCGAAGTGGTACCTATTTATCTACTTGCAATTTCTTGCTTTCGAACTGCTAGGTTGGCAGGAGCTGGAACTAGAGACGGGAGCTCACTCCGTCATCCGGCACACTTGGGTCTCGAACTGCTGAACTACTGACCTTCCACAGCCTGCAGTTCAGCGTCTTAACCACTTGAGCCACCGCAGCTCCGAGGGAAACCTACAGAAAGGGAATTCTAACATACACCAACCGAGAAGTACTAAATTCCTCCACCTTTGCTCATTTGTATAAGGAACCTAATGAAAATGGACACAATCTTATCCATTTACCAATATGGCAAAATATCATTTTCAAGAATAAGATCCTACCAGGAGAAAATATGGGAGCAATTTGTTATGGCAAAAATAGCAGACTCCTTGCTAAGAGCAAATAATAGTAATTCACCTACTTACACTAAATTTGTCAGGACCTGGGCCCCGGTGCTAGAGTACATGGTGAAGAATGATAATCTCCCAGCTAAACAAATTTACCATAAATGGCTGTATCTATAGAAGTAAATGGATAAACTTGTGGTACAGCAATAGAGATGTATGATGTGTGGTTGGACATGAAACTATCAGTGTCTTAAATGCTATATGTAGAAACTTGGAACTTGTAAGTATGTGTCGTATGAAACACTTATTTTCCTTTTCTCTATAAAAACAATAAAAAAATTAAAAAAAAGAATAAGATCCTATCAGAACGTCACACAAAGGCATGGACTGTATGATGCACTGCTTCGGTATCAAACTCATTTTGTGCTACACAAGAGGCACTACTAGAAGCTAGGAATGTGTTTGGTGTCAGATTCGTCAATGGCATCATGGAAAGGAGCTAGAAGCACTCTCAAGCAACTGCTCCCTGTTTTGGCCTTTGAAGAAATGTCTTTTCTAAGCGAGGCCTACAATGTGATAGACAGGATTCTATATGTCTGTAGTTTCAAATATCGGATGAAGGGAGCTTTGACTTTTGAAAGCTTGAGCATCTTGTTGGTCTTTAAGGAGCTACTGGACTTGCATCTTACTCTCATGTGGCTGTAGCTTCATTAAAAGAATTACATGTGAAGCAACCCACACCCATTAAAACACTGCAACAGAGCCTGGGACTAGAGAGCCTCTATTAAAATAAATAATTACAGAGGAGTTTTCAAAAGAAGATAAAGGAAATTCTAACATAAAGTCTGAGGTTGCATCTATCAGAAAGTTCAGATGAGTTACAAGTGAACAATAATGTAAAGGTAAAGGTAAAGGTTCCCTTGCTCGAAAGCCAGTCGAATCCGACTCTAGGGTTGCGGTGCTCATCTCCGTTTCAAAGCCGAAGAGCCAGCGCTGTCCGAAGATGTTTCCGTGGTCATGTGGCCGGCATGACTAAACACCAAGGTGCACGGAACGCTGTATGTACTTGTTGATAATTTAAATTGTAAATGCAATGTCCACTGAGTTCAAATAAAAATTTTCACTGAAAGTTACTGTGACCCTTGTGCATTTGCACACATCTGTCATTTTGAATGAAAAAATAACTCTACTTGTATTCTTGTTTTCCTGAGTAATTCTGAAAACTAATGTTTTACTTGCATTTGTAGGCATTTCTCTACAAGCACTAACAGGGCTGAAAAACCCTTCTAGATCCTAAATACTAGTGCAAATATTTATAGGAGCCCAGCCCTGCAAAAGGATGAATAAATATTCTAGCATCAGAAAATGATTTATTATATTACATTTCTAGGCACCTGACAAACTGGGATTTTTCCAGTAGGGTTTTTTGCCCAAATATTGTTAACATTTTAATGAGAGGATGAATTTAAACTCACCTGTACAACTGTTCTGCATCAATGTCCTTTGGCAATACATTCCAATACTTTTGGAATGTCATACCCTTTCACAAATTTTACAATTCTTAAATACTTAGTTTTAGCACATTTTCCTGAGGAAAATTTTAATGCAATCCAACATATTTAAAAACTAGATAAAATAAGAACAGGTTTTATACTTGAAGAATTGCTGTTTTTCCTGGTCTAATACTTTGGCTAATTTTCAATTAAAACTACATCAAATCTATGGCTATAAAGCAATTCATGCTTCTGTTTCAGACTGGGGGGAAAATTGGAATTGTTTATCCATGCTACAGGGAGGAATTGTTTATCCGTGCATCAGGTGAGTTTATATGATTAGTTACTCATGCGATAACTGTAGCTAGAGAATCGTTGCCTCTTAACCATCTCAGTGAATTCAACAATGAACTTAACCTAGGAAAGATAAGACTATTTTAGGTTGATTAGCACCATCGGCAAACTATCAAGCGAAAATAAGAATGCATCCCTATGCTAAATGATCTACATGGGCATATTGTCTATTTGCTACCCCTTAGACTTCCTCTGGTTTCTAAGTCTTTTATAAAATTCCAGATTTGCCTCTTCAGCTCTGTGTTTGGACATATATTAGAATTCTGGTGGGAAGAAGGAACTGTGTGGCCACCCCAGTTCTAATATATGTCCATACTGAAAAACTGATGGCTAACTCACAGGAATGTTGCAAACAAAACAAAATGATTGTAAAGTACTTTCCAGGTTTAAAGTGCCAAAAAATACTTAATAATAACTTCTACTCCAAAGGGCTCTTTTAACAACTGCTGAGCCAGCAGTCCCTGGGAATTATTTTTATTCAACTCTAACAGAACAGTATTATGCATTATATTATACCAGAATACAGATTCAGGTGGGTAGCCATGTGGACCTGAAGCAGCAAACAAAGTTGGAGTCCAGTGGCACCTTTAAGACCAACAAAGTTTAAGAGCAGAACTTTGTTTTACTATACCAGGATGTAATTCTATACAACAATTTTAAAGCAGAAAATAAAGCAACTTGCAAAGGGTGGGGTTTTAAGAGAAAAGCCACCTTTTAAGAGATGATTCAGGTCCACAGCATCATGCAAGACCTTTTGATGACATCTCTGATCCTTCTCAGGGTCTACAGAGAAGAGGAAACAAATCAACAATGCATCGTAATTGTTCTCCTCAAAATTAAGCAAACATGTCATTTGTATGCTGCACATAAATTCCTCTAACTTACCGTATAAATCCTGGCTCACGTTTTCTTGTCTTTTTACCTTTAGTTTCTTATCATTGGATGCTGCGAGTTCAAAAGACTGGATAGGACTGATGTCTGGTGTCGACAGGGGAGTTACATCAGTCACTGTATCTTCGGACTCTTCTGCACAGTCACCCAACTTTGGTTTTACTTCCACTGCCTTTATTCCAGGCCTAGATTTTTGTCTTGGAGAAAGAAGTGCAAAGCTACCTGCACTCTTCTTTTTTGAAGAAGAGCAAGAGGAATCTGACAAGCAACCATCAGAATCCGTGTCAGAACAATCCGTATCAGAGCTACAGGAAGGGGAAGAGGAAGAAGAGGAAGTACTGACTGTGATTTTCTTGACTGTCTTGGAGCTACTAGACTGCTTAGACAACTTAAGTCTAACTTTATGGTTTCTGCTGTCATCACTACTGTCTTCTTCATCTGTATAGTAATTTTCTTCATGTTGTTTAACTATTTTGGGAATTTGAATTGGAATGCTTTCTTCATGCATTATTTGACCTTGTGCTGAAGTCCTACCAGATGTACTTGCACTTTCTGCATTGAGGGACGCTAATAAGGGCAAAGCGTTCTCATCGGCACCAGTGTCTAAGGTACACTCTGCCTGTGCTTCTGTCTCCCTCTCATGCCTTTCTTCACCAGTACAGACTCCCTCCAACACTTTGGTTTCCATCTTTACGTCAGGGTTACTTAAACTTGCACTGTCTGCTTGTGTGTGCTGACTGTTTTCTGTCTTGGCTGCTTCTGTTGTGGTTCCATCTTTCTTAACCTCTCCCTCAAAATCACTGTCGAAGAAGGAGTGATCCACTTCGCAGTCTGACACATCTTCATATTGGTCCATGACGACCACAAAAAGCTGCGGAAGAGCAGTTCCACCAAATGGAATACTGAAAGAAAGGACATTAATTTTTTTTTAAAAAAATGTTTTCTGTACCTATATTAGGTCAATGTCTAGCTTTAAGATGAAGATGAAACAAATTGGTGCAGAAAAAAATAGAATCTTTAATAATTGCACAACCCCTACAACAATTTAAATTGTGATTCCTTTGGAAATATGCATTATGTAGTATATGTCAATGCTGATTCAGTTGTCTTAATGCTAACAACTAATTATGAATTGCACTCTGTGCATGCCCTGTGCAATTGCCCTGTGTTTTATTAATTTTTCTTAAATGATGTATCAAATATGCCCTTCCATTTTTTATTATTTCAGTAGATTCTCCCTGACGAAACTGTATGCAAAACGCATAAGGGTTGTACAATTATTAAAGATTCTATTTCCCTCTGCATCGATTTGTAATAGATAAAATGGATAGACAGGAAAACAATGAAAAACTTCTGCAGAATCAGGACGTAGTGGTAATTCCAACATGAATTCAGTCAATAAAGCAAACCAATTTTTATAACAATTCTTTGCAGAGCCGCTTACAAACAAAATTTAGACATTACTCTAAACTCTGGTATAGTGTGATGTCCAAATGCTGGACACCCTGTAAACCTCCTGTAGCAGCCATTTTGTGGTTGCGCCCACCTCTGTGTGTGTCTGAATTCCAAAGGTGTTCACAGGCTAAAAAATGCTGGGGATTTCTGGTCTACAGCAATCACTGACATGTGGATTGCCTTGTACACACAGGAAGATCCAGTTCCCAGTGATTCCCAAAGATCAGTGATAGCACAGCAATATGTAAGTGCAGCCTTAGTTTGTTTGACAGCACCACCCTCAAGGTACAGACCTGAAGATGCACCATTGCAACACACACACACACACAAAATACCACCCTTGTTACTTCTCACTAGCAGTAGACAAATTAGGTTTTCCATGCAGACTCTAGTTAGTTTTAAATGTATGCTATACTAACCATAGTTAGTTCAGCAGTTTACGGCTTCATTCAATCACTACCAATAACCAGACCTGGAACCAATAAGTCACAAAGCTCAAAATTTCACATTTTTCTATTGATCTGAAATAATCTTGGTAACACATTATTGGGTGATTTTATGCCACAATTTTAAAGTGCACAATTTTTTTAAAAACCCCCCACATATAATTAAAATCACACAGAATTAGAAAGAACAAGTCTGATGAAACAGTTTACCCTCACCAAATGTTCTCTGGAATAAAACTGTTTCACATGCCTTCCTGAATGCCATTCTGGAAATCACATCCTTTTAGCATGGGAGCCTTGCTCCATAATCCAAGGTACGCAGGAGCTGGTTTTCATACTCAGTGTACTCTACTGTGTACTCACCCTCACATGTGCTAGGACAGACTGGTCACTGCTGCCACTGTCTCCCGTTGGCATGGATTCACACAAAAAATTGCCGTGATGAAGTCACAGAGAGTCTGGGGAAGGGGTTGGACAGTACGCAATTGTCTGAATGGCTTGAAATCATACTTCAGTATTCAGGGAGCAAGTTACACACTTCTCTTACTAACATATTATAGTGTGGTCTCTTCGTTCAGAAAAATGAGACAGAAATGATGTGGCAAGATGGAGGAACAGATTGTACCATTTCAAGGAGAGGAGAGGTTATTTTTTAAAATGGTATCTGCATAAGAACTTTCCTGCAGCTAAAAAAAAAAAAAAAAGAGTATAGCAAGAAGCAGACTGGCTAGAACTCCCTTCCATGACGCGCTAGTCATTTTACCTGCAGGAAGGTTTTTAAAAATATATATATATGGGATAACATTAAAAAATAGCACTCCCTAGGTCTGAAGTGATACAGCGTACTTTGCCTCCTCAGGGTGGTACCTTCTTGTTCTCCTGCATGCCTGTCTCAGCATACAGAGATGACTGCTTGTTTGTAAGCACCTTTGTATCAAAATATCTTTGCACAAGGAAAATGTGCCTATAAAGGAAACAGCTTCATGTATAATGTGGAATTGTTCAACATGCAGGAAGATTTACAGCAAGCAGGAGCACTTTCTGACAAATCACCTGCATGTAAATTGAGGCAAGGATGTCTTTATGAAGAAGAAGAATTGGATTTATAACCCACCCTTCACTCAAAGACTCAGAGCAGCTTACAATCCCCTTCCCTTCCTTTCCCCACAACAGACACCCTGTGAGGTAGGTGGAGCTGAGAGTGCTCTGAGAGAATGGCTCTTGAGAGAACAGCTCTGAGAGAACTATGACTGACCCAAAGTCACCCAGCTGGCTGCATGTGGAGAAGTGGGGAATCAAACCCGGTTCTCCAGATTAGAGTCCACCACTCTTAACCACTACACCAAACTGAAATGACTTGGTCTACACATGCAACAGAGGGACTAGTTCACTCACACAGGACAATAAGGTGACAGAACGGACTGCAGGTACCAGATTCCAATTTTCAGAACTTCATACAAGAGGCCCTGCAAATAGAAAGCTAGA